AATACAATTACGTCTAATCGCGATGTTATTGACGGACGATGGCTTTGAGGCAAATTTCGCTCTGTCGGTTGGTCGGTCGGTTGGTGGACGAACGGCGGCCGGCGGCCGTCGTTACGGTCACTCGCCAGACGCCAAAAGATCGACGATACTGGCTCCATTCCACTGTTGCGGTAGTCGTAAAGCGCTTAGGATAATTGCTCTGTCAGAGCGGTCTCATTCGCACAAGACGTGATTGGCGGAAAGCGTCGTCGATCATGAGATATGCTAAAGATACGAACACTCTGTTGCTGTGAGGAAGCATGTGTTCGAGGGAAAAACACGAAACAGAATGGTCGAGGTAACGGTCAGCCAACGATGAACTCATCAGGACAAAGGAACAGTTGTAGATGGGTGCTGTTCAGCGGTCACAAGTCATAAGCAACGCTGAAGAACAGGTCATTACACATTAAGCAAGCACGGAAACACGAATATACATTAAATGAATCATTGCAGCTATGCGCTGGGGAAATGAAAACATTTGATTTTGAAACTCTACTGAACAGACTAAAGCGAGGACATAGCCGGTTGTTAACATCTTCAGGATCTGAGGGGGATGAGTACATGTCCGCTTGCAGGAACCGCGGCGACTGTTCTGTTGTGACAGTGTACAATGTCATTCTTCACGCTGAAGGTAGACAGTGCGATTCTCTCCACTTCTCAGGACCTCTTGAAATTCATTTGGAAATATGGATTATATATGCTTAAGGATATAATCAATGAAGAGTAGCCCGCAAGAAGATTGTGTTCGAATTGTGCTTTCTTAAATGGCTTATTAGGAAGGTAAGCCCGTTCCCGAACCTGTGATAAGAATATCCTTCTACCAGACAGATCTGCCTTAAATGCTCGAAGAACTACGCCAGCTGTAGTCAGCCGATTGTTCCAAAGTTTGCAACTGTCGCAATTCCTTATGACATTGCATTTCTTCGTAACTCAATAGATTACTGCGTTTTAGTCTTGGTCCGATCTCGACGTGATCTGTGCAACTAAATTTCATTGAACGCGGTTAGCATAAACTGATTAGGTTACATGATTTGCCCCTTACTTTATCCTAACAGCGAAAAGTCTCACTTCCAAGCCATGGCTTCCGAAAACCATCACTATCTTTTCTGCTATGACCGCAGCTCATAAGAGGATCGCAGTGCTCCGGTGATAACAGTACAGCCTTAAACTTAGGAGCTGCCGAAAAAACTCCCTTACCGTAAATTCATTTAAGTAAGGAACATACCTAATTTTAACTCGGCCGATAAACACAATAAGGACACAATGGTACTCTGGCATGGTCACATTACAATGAGAAACAGATATGTTCGTATTGTCTAATATGAGTGACTTTTAGGGTTTCAGTTGTCTTTGACGTACCTGCGAGGTGACTATGCAATGTGATAATCACCGAAAGGTATGAACCCAAGAAAGTGTCATAAATATGGATAGAAGACCGCAGAAACGCAGGGTATGCCTACTGCCTGAAATTCTTGGTTAACTTTTCTTCAATCAAGTTAGAATGCACATCCATCTTTATTTCGACATATAAAGCAATTCCACATTTTGACTGCCCTTGTTCCTCTGTACTATTAGATCGAAGCCGACTTATTTTAAAGCACCTACTCAGAACTGACCAAAGCCTGTCCTGTTTGAGTTCCAGTCTAACGTGCTTTTTAAGGACATAAAAGGAAAGACTTTCAGATATTAGAAAATCACACAAAGTGTTTGTCCTTCTTGCTTCTTGTCCGTGTGAATACACTCTAATGATCTCACAATGACCAGTTTATGGCATTTTTAAGTTTGAACCCATCGCCCAGCTTCTGCAGCTTAATTCATGACAACGTCTGCGAATCAGACTGCTTCACTCAACATATGAGGATCTGGATGCCAACAGTCATTCTAACGTCTATCGTGTAAGGTGATTTACGGTTCATGCATAAACTGTAACTGATTTGCTAGTCAGCTGAGGCAGGTAACATCTCGGTTCTACTGCATCATTACTAAGTCTAACTGTATACTAAAGTCTCAGCATTGTTTCCTGCTTGCTCATATTTAAGCCGCGATTTTTATATAGGGTGAAGCTTAGGCAGCATGGCGGTAAAACCACACATTGCCAATCTGGACTGAACAGCGAATAAGTGTCAGTCATCGCCGAAGTGGAATGGTTCCTGCAGAAAGGCACGGATTACCGCACTCTAACGCATACATTATACGACTTGTGCTCCTGGTTCCTCATCAAACGCATGGCCAATTACAGAGGAAATTATAGTAACCATTAGACGGAATCAGACAGCAACTCGTTTTCCACATGACAGGCAACTAACCGAAGGAAGGCGGTCCGCATTTGATGAAAAACTATTGCTGATCTTATTCACTGGTCTTCTTCTCAATGAATCACGTGTGAATACAGCAAGCGCTGATGCAGAATCTGATCCAATCATTTTGAAGCCTATTCCAATTTGAAGCAGAGAGATGGTACAATCAAACTGCTAGTTTGACAAATAGCGCCATAAAATTCCTTAGGCACTGAATGAACTTAAAATGCAAAACCAAAGCTAGATAAAAAACCAGCTTTGAACATATCAGGAATCAATGAAGTACGGTTCGTCTACAGTAATTTGACAACGGTTACGTCCAACGAGTACTAAAAGATCATTTTTGCTACGTGCTTAATTTGAATAACGAAAGTTTCTCTACAGTACACACAAAAAACGGATAAAAAGACCAGGTTTATTCTAGCAAACCAACTCTCCTAGACGAAAAAGTTATGACAGACCAAAAAGCTGTGATCATGTCCTTTGTACCACTGTGCTGTGTATATTGTGTTGAAACTTCCTATCATCAAAATTCGATGGATCCCTCAATGTCAACTGATTTCGAAACTTGACACCATATTATAACATTTAAAGTTTAACTAATTTCATATCGTTATAATCATCATCGGCTGTTTTCAATCCCTTGTTGAATGAGGGCTTCTCCAAGACTTCGCCATACTAACTTTTCTGCGCTTCTTCTCCGTCTTGATCCAGCAAACTTCTACAGTTCATTCTGTCATCGATCCAGAGGTGTTCCTACGGGAAGTATACACTCCCTTGGAACCCAAGCTAATATCTCTTTAGCGAGCT